GGCAGCGAGGGCCAGGGTGGCCCAGGCCTCACCTCTCGGGCTCCAAGGTGGCCAATGAACCGACGATATGGAGTCTCTGTGGGCGGGATTAACACACAACTTGGAAAGGGATTGGGGGAGAGACGTGCCTGTAAGGGTGACAGGCGGGGTGGGGCGGCTGACTCTGGGTTGAGGCGGAGAGCGCAAGGCAGAAGGGGGAGGGGAGCGGAGCAGGTGGCGAAGCTGCGGGGAGAGCGGGGAGGGGAGAGTTTACAGAAAGTGGCCCTGCCCGAGTGGGACTGTGGCGAGGAAAATCCCACTCGTGGGCAAGCTATCAGGTCGGCCTCCCGTGCACCCGGGAGAGCCTAGAGAAAGGGCGAACGGTGACGGGGACTCGTGCACCCGATCGATTGAATATTAATCACCTCCGGGGCCCAAGCCAACTGCCACCCAGAGGGTGACAACTGCAGAACCCCAAGCAGCCGTGTCAGGCTGGGGGTGGGGGGAGACCACCAGGCCACACCTCCCGCCCGGGTGACAGTTTAACTGCCTCCGCATTCCACTTCAGACCTCCCGGGCGGGCACTCGGACGGAGGGCTGGGGTGAGACTGCAAGAAGAATTGCATTTTATTCCCAATGTCCCAACCCAGGCCTCCGTGCCAAATTGCAAACATATCTACGTGTATATATATCTCTGCGTGTGTTTCAAGTGCCTGCTTGAACACAAACACACGTATTAAACACGGTGCCTTCCTGTAATGTGCGTTAAAGATAATTTTCGGTTGAAATATGTCTGAGTGGGAGAGAGAGAGAGACTCAAGGGAGGGGTGGGGAGCGCCCTTTTTCACAACCTGCAGCAGAGAAATACACGAACTTGACGTTGGGAGTGGAACCGAGAGTCCCTCCCGGCTAAAAATATTACAGGTAGCAACGACGCCCGATTGGCCGCGCGTCTCCCTTAGCAACCAGACGATTGGCTGTCTGGTATCCTGGAGACCGACGTCAAACTCGCACTGGAAACGGGGAGAGAAAGTCTAGGGGAGGGAAGCGTGGGAGGAGGGGAAGAGGAGCAATGAATGAAACGCCCATCGCCTAGCCTTCCCTTCTCCCCTCTTCTCTGCACTCAAGGCGAGATTCCGGGAAACCATCAGTTGGGCGCCGCCTTCCCCTTAAAAGTGTGGGGCGTTCGTTCTCAACCTGCTGAAGGAAGTTAAAGTGAAACTCGTCGAGGAGTGGGGTGTCCGCGGGGCCGGCTGTGTAGACCAGCTTGGGCACAAACCCGCTTTACGTGATAGGCCTAGAGGCTTTGAGCTTTATGGACGCAAAAGCTGGATGTGGCCTTTTTCTTTGCCCTGACACTCGTGCCCTTCTGCCGTCTCTCCCCCCCCTCCGCCCC